AGCTGCTCCTGCTGCCAAAGCCAGAGCCATGGAGAACAGCAGCTTGGGACAGAAGCATGGGGTGCACGGGGCCACGGTGGTTTTTCCCTTCCTTCCATCTGCTCCCCGCAGCCACACCCCGACATAATCTGAGACCCCCAGGAAGGCACACTGCTATCCACAGGGTCACAGGTTCACAGCAGTCTGAGATCTTGCGGGCAGGGGTTTGAGGCGTGGAAGACTGGTACCAGTGAGGCTCTGGGGGCTGCGAGGCAGGTACGGGGTGGATCGGCGGATTCCACGCGTCTGAAGTGGAGGCTGGTCCCCATACACCCCATACACTGCGAGCAGATCCACCTGAGAGCCCCCTGTGTCAGCGGGGCCGCACGCGGCTCCCTGGCCCACACGGGCCTCACGCAGACGCACACAGTTCCTGTTTTAGGGTCAGAACCGCACACACAAGACCCGGTGTCTTTCAGGGCCACTGGGCCAGGCAGGGTCCCCAGAGAAGCAGAGCCGACAGGCTGCACTGGGGGAGATTCCTTGGACGGAGGTAGATTATGGGGCAGGAGGCCAGCTGGAAGCCCCAGGACCATGTCTTTTCTCCAGGAAACCTCAAGGTTTGCGCTTAGGGCCTTGCCCTGACTGGGCGAGGTCCACCCACATTGCCTCTGCTCCAAGCCAACTGCTCGTCTATGCTAACTGTACTCAGGAAATGCTTCCACGGCAGATTCTAACAAGCATTTGACCAAAGGCTGGGCACCACAGCCAAGCCACGGTGACACATGAATTCTGCCTCACACCGTGGAGGCCCCTGGGGACCCCAGCGGAGTGACATTACGCCCCACACTCCTGCTAGGACCGAGACCTACGAGTTCATGGGCCACCCTCGTGCTGAAGAGGCCAGTGCTTCTCTTGAAGCTGATGAAGCAGGGAGGGTGGCAATGTCCCCGTCCCTACAGCCCCGTCCTCCTCACGTGGTCTCTGGCAGTAGTGTGGCTGAACTGCCTGGGCTCTGGGTGTCAGGGCCAAACGAGGCTGTCCCCCCACAACTCCCCATTCGGCCCACGGCTCCAACTGCACCCATGTCCTCGTTGCTAGTTCCTGGCCACCTTCCCCGTGCTCACTGAGGGGAACAGGGGGCAGACGGTGTGTGGCCTGCGGGGGTGGCCCCTGCAGCTCAGCGCCTAGAGGGGTCCCCTATGACATGACCGTCCCTCCGGGGTGCTGCCCTGCGGCATGGAACGTGCTGGGCAGAGCCAGCTGGAGGTGGCCCTAGTGGCAGCAGACAGGGTTGTGAGTAAGCACACAGCCTGTAACACAATCTGTTTTGACAGCTGTGAGTGACCCAGCAAGGGCGGGACGCGTCCTGGCCACAGATGCTTCGTGGCAGCAGGAAGTGACACCTCAAACAGGGTTCAGACCCGTCCTTCCTGGACGGCACCCCCTCAAACAGGCTGTTCTGACCCGTCCTTCCTGGACGGCACCCCCTCAAACAGGGTGTTCTGACCCGTCCTTCCTGGACGGCGCCCCCACCCTGAAGGGGGCGCAGGGCATGATGGACGCGCCCCACTCGAGGGGCGTGGAGGAAGCTTGCAGCCCCTGATCCTGCTGGGACGCGGACCCTGTACCTCATGACTACGAGCTTGGGCTTCCGCCTCAGTGGGCAGCGTGGTCCCTGGGCGACAGCCACAGAGGCTCAGTGACGCCTGTGCACGTCGAAGTGTTACCCAGCAGCGCCTGCAAAGAGTCTTGTCTGTTAACAGTGTGTGCAGTTAGCGGAGGAGGGCCTGTCAGGCCTGAGGAGCCCTGGGCCCACAGCCACCACCATGAGCCTGGGACCAGCCGTGGCCTGCTCCCCCCAGCACTTCCCCTCCCGGAGCCCAGGGCGAGGCCCCCAGCTAGGGGGATGCAGGTGACAGCTGGAGGGGCCAAGCTGACCAGGCCAGGAGTCCCGAGGACCACCCCTCACCGGCCAGGGGTCCTCTTCTGGCCCCACACCTGCCCCAGGCTCCCTGCTCCAGGATGGGAGGCGTGGGCCAGGTCGGGACCACAGCAGAAAGGAGCAGATGGTGGGGCCCAGAGCCTGGCTGGCTGGCTGGCAGGTCAAACAAGAGACTATGGTTACTTTTGCTGTCTTGTTTCAATACTGACTTGTTTGAAACTTGAATGAAAATAAGTGTCTTACACGCCTCCTACAGATTTGGGAACTCTTCCCAAGGGGTCAGCCCCCCATGTGGGTAACTTAGAACCGAGGTGGCCCTGAGCAGGGGCTGGCTTTCTAGGCTGCAGTGTCCACGTTGGGTCAGGCCTGGCTGAGGGCGGATGCCCCACACACCTCACTTGACAATCCTAGGTCCTCCCTCCTGGGACCTAAGTGCGTGCCCACCAAGGGAGGCGCTCCTCAAGCAGGGGGCAGGGGAATGGCCGACACTGCTGTCCTCCTCACACTTGCACACAGGAACACGGATGGGGGTGACCGTGCCCACCCCAGATGATGGTGATACCAGGCACCCTCTGGGACTGTGACGGTGACG